TCTCTCTCTCTCCCTTTCTCTCTGTTGGAAAACATGTCATTTTAGTGGTGACCTAAACGAACTTTTAAAAGAATATCCTGTCCCACCGAGAGATTTTCAATATCTGAATGGACAAACAATAGTCTATATTTTGTACTTGTGTGCCGTTTATACCCCACTTAATTTATAAAGACACCCTGTAGATTCCTCTGAGAGTCTCCAACATTAATTACTTGACTTAAGACTGCCTGGCTCTTTACAGACCTTTTGGAGAGCAGCAATCAGCGGGTGCTCTGATGTGGTTTGCTCCATCTTTCCTATCAAACATCTATCGTTCTTATTTCTTCTCCTTCTTTTTTGTGTTTGTTACTCTCTTGTAACACCTGTATTCTTCGGTGGCACTAACATGACCAAAATTGAGTCGATAGTGCCGTAAATAACCTACTCAATCAATTTATCATGTATTCTTCGGCACTTATGTGACCTTATTGTGTTGAAAGTGCCGTAAAATACTTACTAAAACTAATGAGGATAACACATTATAATGTGGCTTTGCGATTTAGAAATGTTAGACCCAAAGGGGAAACCCGCAAGCTGCACCTATCCACGGTGGAAAAGAAAATCTTTTACTTCAATTTAATAGTCAGAATGTGACGAGCTCTTCTGTGCCTGATTCTATCATACAGGCCCTAGTAGGAAACACACGTCACTATGATACGCATTTTATTGGTCTATGTTATATATATCTTCTTTTTTTTTGGGGGGGGGGGGGTATAACTTTCTGCAGATGCTTTGGGCATCGTCAGACATTGACGGACAGATTTATTATTATGGGAAAGTATTTAAATAATGGTATAGGTTTAACGCTCCAATAAACACCGTTAGGTTATATAAGAGGAGGGACCTCCGAGTTTAACGTCCTTATCCGAAAGGACCGAGCCAAGTGGGAAATTCGTGTAAAGTGCCTTTTCCAAGGACACAAGGTCGGACCTAGCTGAGGCTCTAACCCCCGAACCGGGAATCTCATGTTACGAGTCCGGTTATTATTATGTGGCATTACAAACAAAGAAAGAACAGAACGTAACAGTTACTTTCAAGCGCACAAACAGTACCAGGGCATAATAATATGTCTTATACGTGGCAGAGAATTATGAATTCTTAAATTAAGTAATAAAGCTTGAGCAATACCACAGCAACTCGTCGATATAACGTACACAGTTTAATCCATCCTATAGGCTGTAACGTTCACTTTCTCAAGCCCCCATGTCACCATTGTAACTGTATTGTTCGTGAGGATAACCATTAGATACTTTTCTTTTCCAAAATAGCTAATGGGAAAATGTTTAAATGTTAAAAAATGTAACTCCCCCTGTCAGCTATTAATTATTGAGACACATCAACAAGTAGGATACATATTATTTTTTTGACAATAATTACTGGGTAGTTCAGACAATTAGGTATTCAAAATCGGCCCAGACCTGACCACAGTGACAATTAGGGCGCTCTACTGACCTTTTTTCATTATATCTGCGCATCCCGTGGCAGGGTCCAGCCCTTCAGGACAGTAGCAGGCACACTGACCCTCCACCAGCGTGAGAAAACCGTCGTTATGACACGTCAGGGGGAAGTCTTTGCAGTGGTTCTCTGAGTTATAGATCAGAACATTGTAAATATGCACACCCCTAAGATAAGATAAGATAAGATAAGATAAGATACTACTGTATAATCCCAGAGGGAAATTTTTCATGGCTGTACAGGACCGTAAAACACATGCAGGTAAAAATAAACGTTTTAATTATATGTTACTCTCATTAAAATTCAATATGAAAAGAGAAGTAAAGCTGACAAAATGTACATTTTACATCAGAAGCATCATTCAAGCACCTGCAGGAATTTAATCACAAGACCTTTGGAGTTATATAGATACATACATCTGTGCTTATTATGACATTAGCCTTGAGCTAGATGGTAAAAAACTTCTTTTATAACCTTTCTTTGTTTTTATAGGTACATATCTGCCGCTGCTTGATCGGACAATCTGCGTGGAAAGGGGGTGTTATGGGTCGTTTATAATGCTTTTTAACATTATCTTTTTTTATACTTGTGGTGTTATACATTTTAACAATTGTAGTAAAATGATATCCAGAGATCTTGCAGGATTTCTTAAAGGTTCTGTCAAATTTTTCTTTATCTTTGACCCTACAATTCCCAGCCCAACAGCAAATACAAACTAATTGCACGCTTTCGAATATAGAATAGTATAAAAGGGACATAATCTTATTATCGACACGAAAACGTCTTAATTTCCTTAAAAGGAACATTCTTTGATTTATTTGTTTCCTTGTTATGCTTTTGTTTCTTTGTTTCTTTCTGTCTATCTTTCTTTCTTTCTTTCTGTTTTTCTCCTTTCTTTCTTTCTTTCTTTCTTTCTTTCTTTCTTTCTTTCTTTTTTTCTTTCTTTCTTTCTTTCTTTCTTTCTTTCTTTCTTTCTTTCTTTCTTTCTTTCTTTCTTTCTTTCTTT